ATTTGGTTTCAAGGATTGCTTGAAGACTTGGGAGTTGGTCAAAAACATATTGAGGTGTTTTGTGATAGTCAAAGTGCTATTCACTTAGCAAAGAACCAGGTCTTGCACATAAGAACGAAGCACATTGATGTTCGCTATCACTTTATATGGGAAATTCTCGAAGAACAGGAGATTTTTCTCCAGAAAATTCGGACTACAGAGAATCCTGCAGATATGGTGACCAAGGTGGTTACAAGGTCTAAGTTTGAACATTTTTTAAACTTGGTTAATATCCTGCACATTTGAATTGGCATTTGAGGGCACAAATTTTGGAAGTACCACTGGACTAGTTGTTATTTTGGGTGAGAAGATTTGTATTTTTTGGGGTGGGATTAGATTTATGCCAAGGTGAAAATTTGTTGAATTCAAAACCACAATTGTAGACTTTGACAATTTTTCCACAGCTCACAATTGTGGACTTTGTTGGCAGAAATCTTCATCCTACATTGATGGGTTTATGAATTGGAGAAGGATTTGATAGTTATAAATAAGCTCTCAAGCCTTCCCAATTAATTGTACCAAACAAAAGAATTACACCAAAAAGGATTTTGTAATTCTTTCTCCTCCTAAATTATAAAAGCAGGCTGCTTGAGTGGTGCTCGGAGATTAGGCAAAATTTGCCAAATTCCGTTATCAATTTTTCGAGTGCGTCTTTCCTTATCTCTTTTATTTATTCCGCACTTATTTAGTAGCTTCTTTTCTAGTATAGTATTCAATATATTTGTCTATATTTGTCGGATTTATTTGTAGTGTTTTATACGATTCATTTGGGTGTATTTTCTTATTCGTGTGTACGTAATATTTATGTATACACGGGTCTAGTTGTGATAATACACCGTGTACGTAAATTCTGCCTAGAAAACTGGGTTTTAAGTGAGACCGCTTGTGACCCCTCCAGCCTTTCCTAAAAATTTATTTGGAATGGTAATTCTGGCTAAGAAGATTGTTTCGACGATCTTTATTGGGAATTACTGAATCGGTTTAATCACTAGTTATATTTTTGAGTGGAAAATTACCCGGTTTCCCCAATACGTGATTAATAGCTTGTGGTTTGACCAAATAATTGAGCTTCTTATTTTTTTTTTCCCCATGGTTTTGATTAGTGTAGAATCTTAGAAGGGAACTTTCTTTTATGTTATTGTACCTCATAATATGGGGCTGTCAAATTTGATTAAAACCTACTCAAGAAATGACAAAATATTAAAGGTTCTATCTTTGACTTGCATTTGACAGTAGTTCATTTTCTATATTTGTATGTCAAAATATTAAGAGTAAATCTTATATATACTGACAGCATATACACTATCATTTTTAGATCCATGTCATATGTAAAAAATTGAATTTCAAATTCAAAATTTGCATAATTCTTATTCATCCAATACTGATAGTATATACACTCTTAGTGTAGGAAAGACAATTATACACTGTTAGTATATAATTGTTATTTATCCAACGCTGATAGTGTATACACTATTAGTATGGAAAAAACTAATCCAAATAGAGTAAATCTTATATATACTGATAGTGTATACATTGTCACTGTTGAATTCATGACATATATAAAAAAAATTCCAAATATTAAATGTTCTATCCTTACTTTGAAACATTTGTGAAATAACTTATCGGTTTACTTACTAGTTTATGTGCTAGATTGTGTTTTACTACTATCTTATGTGCCTTTGCATTTTTAGTGATATTTAATCTTTAGACTGCAAAATTAGAACACTGTTCACTGATTAAATACAAAATGATTTTGACCGCATATAAATACATGTGTGTGTGTGTATGGTGATTATAAATTTGTTAAATGCTCATTTCCAAGTATTGTTGCTTATATGTATAGTTTTGTACTCTTGTTTGAGTGTTGATGGTATAATCATTTCAAAGTATTGTGTGTTGATGGAGAGTCAATGTATATTTCAAGCAGTCTAAGACGTTTAAGCATGATATTCGGAAATCAATATTGGCTTTTTCTGATGCATTGGTGTTAAACTGGCAATGGGTACACAAAATTTGTCATATAAATTTGAAAATAAACTCAGCTTAAATTTCTTATAGGCTTTTCTAACAGTTGGCCCGAGGCACAAAATATATCATGCAAATACTCACTTTCACATTTATTAACCTTTATTCTTATTCAATTTTTAGATTTTGGTTCAATGTTTTAATTTTTTACACTTGGCAGATTACTCTTATTACATGTGTTATTGGAATGCCCGTTGGACAATTCCTTTATTTTTTTTCCTTTTTCCTAATTTAAAGAAATGAAATCCATTGGGCTCAATTAGTAATGAAGAGGATTTAGATTTAGTGTGGTAGGCTAACATGCCTATCAGTGGTCACTTTTAATTCTAAAATACGGTGTTTTGTTTTTTCCTTTTTAGTTTAAGCCATTTCTTATATGCTAAAAAATGGGTTTTGGTGCTTTCGGCCTTTAGTTACTTTTAGGTTTTCAACTTGATTTCTTTGTTTTATTTGTTTGCTTCTTGTTTGCTTTTCATCCTAACAAAACAAACAAAAATTTACTCTCGTCACATTCACATGGGATGCTCAGTACCACTATATTAAGTACCCTGTTTATTTGACTTGTTATGTGCTATTTATTTAAGTTTATTCTATTCTTTTGTGATAAGTAGGATCAGTACTAAATTTGGCACTGGATAATAGCACAAAGCATCCCAACTGCTTCATATTTGGGGTCTTCCATGCAGATTCTTTTCGAGTCAATAACCGATAAAATGTGACTTGGCCATAATATGGACTTTGAAGAGAGTACTGGATTTCAGTTCTCAAAATCATCATAACCAAAACTAAATGAACTTGACTTTAGAATGTTAATACATCCTTTATAATTTAAAATAACTATACAAATTGGCAGTTGACTAATAATATTGGTTTCTTGGGAATTGTCTTTTAACATGCTACTCCTATTAGGATTCATGTTTCATGCAGTATTAGTACGAGAATTTGTTACGTTAATAGGTTTACATGTACGGTACATAATTTTAATTCCAATTTGAAATTTATTTTGTTTTCACACGCAACATGCATTTATGGCACTAATGTAAAAATATTCTCCATACTGAAAATGCATAAAAATTTTGGTTCTCCTTCTTTCGAATGCATGTTAGTGGTGAATTCTTATTACTAGATATCGTTAGCTATTTAATATGCTAAGCTTTAACAGCTTAAATTAGAAATAAAGACTTTTAGTTTCGGAGGTGGTACAGGTTGGGTGGCATGGGGGAGGGAGTGTAACACTAAAGGTAAAAAAAAAAAGACTTTTAGTTCTAAATTTGGTGGTTTAGAGATAACAAACCTCTCAAAGATTATGCATTTTTGCCCACCTTATTTTTTAAGTGGATCAGTTTGTCCCCAAAACTTTTCGATATGTTGCACTATAATCGACTGAGAATTGCAAACTAAAATTAATTTCATTAGGTGATGTGTTATTATGCAAGGAAAAGAGGAATATGGTATCTATTAATTCAACAATCAGTGGATTTGGTAAAACAATCTACACTTGAATAAATTTTTACCCACAAATCAATATTTGCATTTACAAAGTGAATGCAATAGTATCCATGTCATTTTTATACATGTGAAATCCCATGATTACTTACAAATCATTGCTTTCATTGAGGGAAAATATGTCATTTTTGTTCATTTTGTGCATCCAAAATGCTGACCTTTGATCCATTGGAATTTCTTGAGTTGCTCATATCATCCTAAGAACAACTTAAAAACAAATTAACAGACTTAACACTGTAGTTGGACAATGAGCGAAAGAAAATGAGAATCATGTATTTTTTGATCATTCATTTTGTAATTAACCTAAATTTGTTTTCCTCCAAGTATTGCTTTTTTCTTTTCTTTATATTAGTTTTCCACAAAGTTATCTAGAATGTTGACTGTGTCATATGTATAAATATTCTTTTTCCGTTCTAGATCTCTACGATTTCAATTTTAAGTGATTAATTTGATAGAGAGAAAACTTCGAGAGAATCTATCAAAGATCCCAATATATAAGTCAGGAATCCAATTCTGACCATAAAACTTAAATTATTAGGTCTTGAACCCTTACTTACATATTAACCGCTCTTTCTCAATTTCTCAGACCAATGTGGGACATAACCCTTTACTCATAAATCTAACAAATCTCCCTTTTCATGAGTAACCTTTCATATTAAACCCAAATTTACAAACCCTCATTCGAATCCATTTTAATACTCAACACAAGCCCACCTTATCATCTAAGGTCACCTCTTCTCCCAAATATGGATCCACTCTTCTTCAATATCCAAACTGGATTTTTGGATCTCTGTCAACCCTTGGCTTCATCTCACACCAACTGGACCCCCTGCCAAACTCATAGCGCACCTAGTCCACCACTAGCCAAATTCTTGGCACTTCAGTCCACCATCAAAAAGAGAATTTTCACTGGTTCAACTTAGAGAAAGATACACTTGTCCACGAGTAGACTAGTCTCGTAACCTAAAACTTTTATACCAATTTGATGGGGAGAAAAATTTCGAGAGAGTCCACCTAAGAGGCCAATATATAAGTCAGGAACCTGACTCTGATCCAAAAGTTTAAACTATTAGATCTTTTGGTTCTTACTTACATATTGACCGCTCTTTCTCCATCTTTAGAACCAATGTGGGACATAACCCTTTACTCATGAATCTAATATAATTTAGGTTAGTTTCCATCCAGAATGTTTAAAGTAGTCATTGAACATAAAAGACAATTTAAAACATAAAAGCAAGCCAATAAAGAGTTAGGAATATATAATCGTAGTTTTTCTTTTCTATTGCTCTTTCACGAGTCAACTATCTAACAAAGAATAACATTTTTTTCTTCAACTCCTTTTCTCGTTCACCTATCACTTTTCCTTCCATAACCAAAGAAGATAAAGCCTAAGTTTCTTGCAATGTACTTATTTATCCTTTCCTTGTTCTTCACTTCCCTAACCAGTGGACTATGTGGAGAGGAAGTGGAGCCAAATAAGGAGGTGAAATTTCCAAGGATACCAATGTTGTGACATTATCAAAAGGATGTTGGTGTAAAAATGCCCAATACTGCTCAAGCTTATTGCCCTTCTTTGCTATAAGATGCACCCTATAGTTTTCGCCATTGAAATATTGGGTATATACTTCTCCCACTGTTTCAAATACTAAGTTGGTCTTTGCCTGCTTGTTGTACAAATCGATTGCCAATTCTCCAAGTTCAATCCGACTGGGGTCGTATGGGTCTAGAATCCGCCAACGAGTACCGAATCTTGCTTCTGTGTTAATGCTGGCCACCAGCACTAGTGCTAGCATTGCCAGGACCAGAGAGTTGAAATGAGGAGCCATTTTTGGTGTGTTTTTGGATCTGTCTGTGTTTATGAGATAATGAATCCCTGTGGAGAAAGAAGTTTGTTCATGGAGTAATTTATAGGGGTGAATTTGAAGAGGCCACTCTGCATTTGTTTGTGTTCATTCTCTTGTTCATAATTGAATGGTTCTATCTATCATTTAATAGCCTTAAATCTCATACACATTAAATTCATGTCTTAACAAGTTTCGCTTTTAACTTTACCATTGATCTTCATTTATTGATTCTTTTATGCATTAATTCCACTGCACCCATAAATATTTTAGTGTCCTATTTTTAGTGTGTGCATGCGCATGCATGCATGCGTGTGTGTATGTATACAGGTATGTGTATATATATATGTATGTATATATATATATATATATATATATGACACACACACAAATACTCTATCATAAGAACAAATGTAAATTGAAGAGACATCCTTAAGCACAATTGTAAACTCAAGAACTCAAGTTTGTTCCATGGGGGCTAACAGAAAACAAGACTCTTCTCTCCATCATAAGCAAACTCCTTACCAGCTATAATTCAGTGTCATAAGTCTCCAGTACCGTATCTAAGACTTTTTATTGATACCTTTTCCATCCACTGGTGGACAATTTCCGTAGGAAAGCACAACTTGTTTAAAATGATAGATCACAACCAGTGTGGAACAAGATTGAGTTATGCTAAATAGTATTTAGGATGTTGAAATGTTTTTCCAAAATTAAACAAGCCTTCTTCTTATAAAAAGAAGGTGACAGGTGTCGAGCCTGTGCAATAATAAATACCTGCTCGAGAAAAATATAAATTTTCTGTGTATAGTAGTGAGTAGGATCGAATCCACAGGGACTGTAAAAAATTCGATTCTTTTCAAGTTCGGAACACAGGGAATTTTTATCAGAATGAAACTAAAAATAATTAAACAATTTAACCAAAAATAAATGATTAATTAATATGAATGTAAATAGAAATTAAATAAATAATAAATAAATTCTAGCCAAGGATACAACTACGCAGACACAGTCCATTCATCCGGTCATTGATGCAAAGAAGGTTCACTTAATTTTATTAACAGGTTAGTTATAGCCATCGATAAGCTCTGATGACCAGTTTTTCCTTAATTTATTGATAACCAAGGTACGACCGTTGATTACCTCTAACCAGGAAATACTCCTAGGTATGACCGTAGGAATTAATTTCCTAATTGCCTTCAAAACGAGAAGTAAAAGAGATGAAAATTGGTCAAGTAAGAAAGGACCGGTAAAGATTTTGATCGAAAAGTGAAGAGGTTAAAAACGTAAACAAGTCCCTCTAATGAAGGTTTTATAGAGAGATTATGGACTAGAGGAAATAACCTGAGAAGTGGAAGAAACCATTCGAGAAAAGTATTCAGACCTGTTCACCAATCAAGGTATAATTTCGAGAACAAAATTTTCTTAAAAGGGAGAGGATGTGAGGACTCGCAAAAATTTACTTATTTTAGATTCCTATTACTAGCTTATTTAAATATTTAATTACCCGTTTACTCTGAATATTTTATTTCAACTTTTTTAGACCCAATTACATGGAATTATGACTTGCATATATTTTTAAAATGATTTGTTTCCAAGTTTAATTTTTGAAAGCTCGTTAAGTGAGAATAGTGAATACGCGATTGGAGTTAATAATTGATTTGAGGATACAATAAACTTGGAAAACTGAAGACTTGTACATTAGTCTTAAAATAGGTATTTTTATGTATAAGTACTAAGTGTTAGTTAGTTATACCATTGTTATAAGAAATTCTTAGAGATTCCACTCTATCGCGCATAAATTGGAAGTACGTGTTTTTACGCGCGTGATGAATTGAGGGATTTAAAACCTTTATTTTGGGACTATTAAGAATGAATAATGATAGTATGAATGGTAGTGCAATAGAGGTTTAGTGCACTAGTGAAACAAACCCGAGAGGAATCAAGTATGAAACGAGCGCGTACGTGCACTATTTCTAGTTGACTTTTGAAGCAATTTTGGGCCGCAAATTTTAAAGCTTCTCACTGAAGCTTACCATCAGCACCATCTCTTCTTTTCCTTCTCCAAGCAGCCGGCCACACTAAGGGAAGAAAGAGCTAACTTTCTTCATCATTTCACTTCACTTTACTCCACCAAATCACTTCAAATTTACACTAAACTTTGCTAAACACTTGGAGAGCAACTCAAGCTGGAAAAAGGACTTTATTTCCACGGTTCTTGTGAGCTTTAAGAGGACCGAAATTTCTGCCTAAGTCATCAACTAAGGTAATCAATGATCAACCTTGAAATTCTTAGTTTATGAGAGTAATATAGCACTAATGAGTTCATAGTTGTTTATGGGTAGCTTTATTTATGTTGAAAATTGGTGAGTGGGCTCTATGAACTCTCACTATGGTTTGATGGACTGATTTGATAAGTTTTAATGTTATTAATGTTGGATTAGTGCTTAATATACTAGAAATGAGGGATATTATGGATGAAAACTCAAAAGGAAGAAGTTGAACAAAAAGGGACAATTCTGCCCCTGTGAATGCCGTGACCTTTGGAGCATTTTTTAAAGTTCTACTGACTTGTTTATGATGTATATATGTTGTATGGGTTGTGTACAAAGTTTCATCAAAAAAAATTCATGATTTGGTTGGCCAAAGGTTGTGATTTCGGAAGTTCAGCAAAACTGGAAATTTTCCCGTAACTGCTCTGGCAGTGTTTTTTTTTTAACAATAACTTTTGCTCTGACATCGAAATCGAGTGCCGTTTGTGGTACTGAAAACTAGGCATTCCTAGCTTTCCAACGGTATAAAATGCCTGATTCCACCTGAGTGATCCATACCAATCGTTTGAACATGACTGTCCTATTTCGCTAGTTCCCTGGAAGCTCTGTTTTGAGCAGCAAATTGATGCTCAAATGTGAGTTAGTTGTGGACAGATTTTGAAAACAATTTCTTCTAAGAAATTGTAGCTTTATGAATCTAGTTTTCAATGCCACCAACCACGCTCAATTCCAAGTTGAGTTGAGTGAGTTGTGGCCGTATTCCGAAACTGACTCAATGGTTTGAAACCCTCTTTTGGCTTGTAAATGCCTTAATCTTGATTAGGACTTGTTATTTCGAAATTCGTGGTATTAATCGCCTACCAAATACATCTTGGCTGTTTCTTAGAAATTACCTACACAAATGGACCATGTTTGAGATATTTTTGTTGGCCAAACATTTTGAAAACGGAAAACTCAAGTACAAGGCAGATTTGCCTTGGAATTTTTGAAACTTTAGTGATTTGGTTAACCAACCTTTCGTATGTATTTTTCTATGAAATTTGACAGAGGAGTAGCCCTTATATGTTAGTGTAGTACTACCAAATTTGGTACCATTCTGAGTCCATTTCGATACTCAACCAAAGTCCCAAATTTCGTAATTTACACCAGAAAAATCTTCATTCAAAGAGGAAATTCAGCAACTTTGAGCCACCATATCTTGGTGCTCGAAACTCCAATTTTTGTTCCACTTGTTTTGTTGAAAAATTTGATTGTAAATCTAATTGAGTGCCAAATTTTAGAGGCTAGTTCACATTGTGTGAATTTTGCCGAATTTCCAAACTTTGTCGAAAATCAACCCAAATCTGTCTTGACTTTCCAAAACAGCGACTTTGAGGCGATTTTTGAATACCTTGCGTTTGGAATCATGGAAAAGTGTCTTCTAAAAATTTTTGGTACTTTGGAAGAGGTTTCCAACGGTACCAAGGTTTCCAATTTTGGACTTGTCGAGTGTGAGATACAATTTTTCCAAGATCATGAGACAAACCCGAAATTTCCAAACTTAAAAGAAGTTGAGTTTTTAGAACTCATCTGTTCCTTCGATATCACTTCATCATTTTACACTTGATTTCAAAGATAAAAACCAGATTTCTTTTGTATTTTAAAACTCCACTTTTGAGCCTCGATTTACGAGAAATTAAAGCTCATTTTCATGAGATTTTCTTAGATTGTACTCTAGTACAATCTTCTTCAATAATTGGGGTTTATAAGTGATTGTCCATTATTAATTACTCAGGCACGCACGAGGACCTTCAAGAGGATCCCATGGTGGACGCCTGAACTTTGAGTAACATTCCTTCTTTGATAACTTGGTGAGTGTCAAGTGTATGTTAAATGCTTATGTGATTGAGATATTAGTTGTACAAGTGTTATACATGATACGTAAACTTACCGATGCGAGGGTGTACTTTATCGCTCTCGTCCTCTTTCTCGTGTAACTACGTGATACTTATTACATGAATGAATATGATTGGCAATTGTACATGGATATTATGTGCTCGATTATTATTAGTGCATGAATAGTTGAAATCCTGTGAACTTGATACGTGCTTACTTGATATCAATGATTTGAAATTTTGGAAATGGAGTCGAGTGTGTACTTCACCACACTCGTTCTCATTTGAAATAAATGACTCGTGCTTGACCTAAATTGAATCGCTTGACCTAACTTGAACTGCTTGATGTGACTTGAATTACTTAACCTGACATGACTTGACTTGAAAAATATGCTATGGCTGCATAAGTCAATTGGAGCGATGTCTCGTCGACTTTTGAACGATAGCAAGTACCACACCGATATGGTGGGAGGTACCTCTCAAAATGTCGGGTGGGAGGTACCTCTCGAGTCGTCTCAGTACCCTAAACCTCTGAACGATAGCAAGTACCACACCGATTCGGGTAGGAGGTACCTCTCGAATCGTCTCAGAACTCTAAAGCATTCTAAGTCGATTGGAGCGATGTCTCATCGACCACTGAACGATTGTAAGTACCATACCGATTTGGTGGGAGGTACCTCTTGAATCGTTTCAGTACCTTAAATCATGCTAAGTCGATTGGAGCGATGTCTCATCGACCACTGAACGATTGTAAGTACCACACCGATTTGGTGGGAGGTACCTCTCGAGTCGTTTCAGTACCCTAAACCTCTGAACGATAGTAAGTACCACACCGATT